ACCCACCCACCCACACAGCCTGCCCCACCCCACCAAGCTCTGAGGTGGCAGGGGAATGTCTTTCTCCTTCTCACATCAGTAAGGGTATGTCTACACTAGCCCCCTAGTTCGAACTAGGGAGGCTAATGTAGGCATTTGAAGTTGCAAATGAAGCCCGGGATTTAAATATCTCGGGCTTCATTTGCATCTTGCCGGGCACGGAGTTTGGACTAAGGGGGATTTAAAAATGGCGGCGCCCGGGAAGATGCAAATAAAGCCCAGGATATTTATATCCCGGGCTTCATTTGCAACTTCGAATGCCTGCATTAGTCTCCCTAGTTCAAACTAGGGGGCTAGTGTAGACATACCCTAAGGGTTTTGGGGTTTTTTTTTTTGCCTTCTCACTTGTTTGGGCCCCCGACTGATTTTTCTGTGGGTCAGCAGCCCCTAACCCAAATTCAGACATTTCTCAGGAGGTGGGGGAATTTTAGTCTTTGCACTCCCCAGCAGGACCCCTATGATGGTGCTGCTCATTCCTCCTCTTTCTTCCTGCCGGGATCCCCATTTTTCTTCTGGTGTGGAGTTTCCCCTTTCTTGCCCATGCTCCCAGGAATTGAGTTCTCAGCAGCTTTCCCTGCACTCTTCTGTACTGGGACAGATTCCCTGCATACCAGGTTGCAGTACAATTTGGCCCTGCTGTGATGGAGGGCCATATGGGTCAAATTTGAGCGGCATAGTAACCATGCAGCTGGAGTGATGCTTTGGATCATGTTGGCAGCACCTGTACTGATCCAGTACACAACTGCTGCTTAAAAGTAGTCAGCCCCCACCCCACAACTTACGGAATTGCAAGGAAGTGGAAAAACTTTGACTAAAGGGTTGTACCACTGACCTCCCCAATTGGCAACACTGGCCGTGGGAACAGAGGTAGTACATGGAGTGGTGTCTCTCTTTCAGAGTGGTCCACAGGATGGGAGAGCTGACAATTACTGTGTTCAGAGGGCTCCTTACCTGCTGGGCACCACAGGCACTTTTCAGCCTGACTGGTTCCATGAGATGGGTTGTAAGTCCCTGCTGGACAAGGGTAAAAGCTGATTCCAGTCTTCTCGGGACAATAAAAGCCAGGTGGACAGTGGAGAATTATGCCGCGCTGACAGTGAAATCCAGCTGGACAGGGAAAGCATTTGTCTTGACCTGAGAGGGCAGTTCAGGAAAGGAAAGAAAAAGCACCACTGAGCAGACTCACTTCTGTAGGACTCTGTCTTGCCTGGTTCTGGACTTGAAACAGG